ATTTCTTATTTTTATTTGTCTTGTCAGGATACAATTCGTTTAACATTTACAACACAATAGGAAAAAGTGTCACAAAGAGAAAAAAAAAAAATGTAGGTTGTACAAAAATGGCCTATTAGCTATTTTTATTCGTCTTGTCAAAATACTAAATTCGTTTGACAGTTTTCTGTTAACACAATAGGGAAGTCGCAGAGAAAAATAAATAAATACGGCATCTGTCATTTAAAATGCTAAGCAAAATATATACAAAACAGAGTTGAACGTCCTTCAAGGACAGCGCATCCACACTTTGCTCCATCCTTATTCTGCTCTGTCACTCATCGATAACCTGCCTGTTCTGTCTGAGGGCCGTATATTTACCACCGGTACAGCCTGCTCTGAGCATCGTTATGCACATGCTGCGCACAGACCCCACAAATAAAATGCGTGATGCAGAAAGCATGCGTGCAGCGCGCGCATAACAGTCCGAGTGCATACCGGTGGTCAATAAGAATAAAGTGCAAATATGCTGTTCTGAATGGACGTCGGGAATGGGATATTGTTAGACTGCCCGCTCCCACTCCCGCTCCCGTTCAAATTACACCAGAGTTACCGACCGCTACCGCGTTTTATTCTGGAATTTAATCCCTCTGTGCAAAAAATCTGGTCGGGTCCTGCTGTTCCCACAGGAGAGCCCCGGGAATGCAGACCTCTAAGTTGCACCACATGACATTTAACAACATGAATTAACTTTGTCTTGTTATAAAAATGTCAAATTATCTGATATTTTACAATAATTATTGCACTTTTTTCTTTATGTTGGTTACACCATATGATTTTAATTTGGTGCACAAAAGTTTTTTTTTTTTAAATTACTAATAAACAACAATTAGTAGTGAAGCTGTTTTGTAAAAAAAAATCTAATAAATAATATTAAAAGGTTAAGCCAAGCTACTAAATAAATTATTCTTTTAATGAGGCTTTTGTCTTCATGATATTCCTTTTCTGTACGATATTTGTACAGTTATACCAACCTGACAGATTTCCCCCTTTAAAAAATATCATAATTATTTATTTATTTTATTAATAAATTATGCTCATCATAAATGTGTATTCAAGTTATTATACGCACAAATTGAATTGTTAATGCTTTTTTGAATACTACATTAATTGACCCAGACAAAGAAAGGGCATCATGTCATTGACCCACAACACCCTG